AGGTCAAATATTACTGAGGTTACAATGATGACCTGAAATTTAAAAAAAGATAAATGAAAACAGAAAAGGGTCATTTGCACATTAACAATTATAATAACAGTTAACTATAGATCATAAGCATAGACTGTATATAAAGATGGGCGACATCTGTCCAAAGGTGAGGATGAAAAACTGGCTTTAGTACAGATGATAAATCTCAACTTCTCCATGTTAGCAGATGGGACAGCTAAAAAAAATAAAAGTCCACGTGCAACAAAAATGTCTCAAAGATCGGTCGTCTTAGGTCGTTTTTAATTACACAGAGGTTTGTTCCAATGTAAATGTTGTTTTAGTTAAGTTTGATTTAAACACTATCAACACTACTGTTCAGACTACGGTGTCAAGTAACGTCAAAAACACAACATGTACCCAAGATATTTCATTTTTGTACAACAGGAGAAAGAGGAAAAGTGTTTATGTATTTATATATACTCCTTATTAGTTTGTAGAATCCACCAATGGGGTCTGTGGTTGTAGGGGGACAGTTTCTTATAATAACTCATCCTGAGCAGCTCTTACTTCAACAAGGTGTTAACATGCTACTGTGGGTTAATCAGCCTGTTGGGAAAACCAGCGTTTCTGAGAAAAACCTGGATTAAAACTGAAAAAGAAAAGCACAAGGAAACAACATCTGTTTATACACGTTCTAATCCACTATTCAATTAGTCGTCAATTAGCCTTTAATCCCCATTAGCAGTCCAGCGTGAGACGAGCGGTGGAGGAATGAATGAGCGAGCGTCTCCCCGGGGAGGAAGGAAGAGCAGAATGGAAAATGAAAGACTGCAGAGATATACGGGGGCTCGGGGCAGTTTCTGATAAGAAAAGTACTAATTAGTGTCGCTGAATGATTTATAGAAATCAGAAGTGTGAGTGTGTGTGTGTGTGTGTGTCTGTGTGCGTGTGTGACAGCAAGAGGAAGGTGGAGAAAATGAATGGGGTCCATTTTTGCCAGGCTATTTTCAGCCCCTACAGAAACAGAGGAGGGAAAATCCTCCAGGGTCAGAAACCTGCAGCCGACACACGAATACACATGTGCACACTTCAACACACAAACCCACGCACACAAAACGGTTTAGGCAGCAAAGAGGAGAGCATCAGGTTGTCGTTCCTCCCATGTTAGTTCATGTGCACGACATCCTCCCTCCATTATTGAACAGAGCTATCAGGACGCAGCGTCGGTATATTTTTATATTTTTGTGAATAGGCTCCTCTCGCTGCGTCCACGCTCCTCCACCGCCCACCTTCCTCTTTCTTACACCCCTCCCATCCCCCAATCCATCTGTTTTGGTGGAGGCCATCTATTAATAAAGAGTCAATCCTTTCATTTTTCTATTTCCCCCGTTCTCCTGTATTATTTATTTACCCATCTATCTGTAGTTACACGGGGCAGATATGCTTGCAGAGATTGCGACGCATCCAATCCCCCTCCTGCGGGGAAAAACTTTACCCGTCATAAGAAATTAAGACTTAATTTCACCCCAACTCCTCGAGTTGTATTCCAAATATGAAAAATCCTGATCCGCTGAGATTTATAATTTTAGACCTGGCTCTGCTTGGCAGCTCGTCTTATTCAAATGAAGTGAATTTGCAAAAATGTTACAGCAGCTGAGTCAGTTCAAACGGAGAACATCTTCCTGATTAGAGGGATTTTCACACTCCAGCACTGAGGAGTCATAACGTGGCAGCTGGAGGAGGAGATGGAGGAAATTTATTTTTTATTAAAAAGCTAATAACGGCGATTAGCTACTAACAGCAGCACCAAATGTGGGAGAGGCCTTAAAACCGCCTGATGATAATCAATCATAAATTTGAGATGAAGCACAACTACAGTGGTGAAGCTGATACAGGATAATACACATTACTGCTGTAAATGATAAAATGAATTATCTCCCTTTGCTTTTTGGCACGAATGCATAACCCCAGAAAAGGTGAAACAGGATCAGGGGCAGAGAAGAAGAAACAAGTGATGTTCAAATCTGCGTCTGCGGGTCAATAATATATATATATATATATATATATATATATATATTATTACTGTGAGTAGACTGAATATAGCTCCCAAAAAGTGAAGCCAAAACATCTCCATTGCCCCCTAGTGGCTGGCTCAAGTTAGCAGCGAGGACACGGTCCAAACAAAAAGTAAAATAAATAAGTGAAATCATTTTTTTTCTGTCGTTTTGATGTAAACTGAACTTTTAATGTGTTCATGTCTCTCATAAGTTTTGTTTTAAAATTGTTATTTTAAACGTCACGATCGACTCACTATCGGTCAAATCGATACGCCAGCTGCAGACCCCGGCTCCAGATGACGTCAAAAGATGGCAGCACCGGTATCTGAGGTATTTGTTTTGTATTTTAAACACATGTAGATTTTTTTTTTCAGTTTAAGAATGATTTCAGATTTACAGCTTCGTCTATTAAAGGTTTTACATCCGCACACGTAACGTTCCCTCCAAAATGACTGAATGTCCTAACTGCACGACACACGTCTGAGTCTCACTGAACACGACACCTTCAGTCACAGAACAAATGCTCTCGACCTGGGCGTTTGCAGAATGGAAGGATTTCTCTTCGGTTTCCACTTTCCACACATGCTTTTGCAAAACATATTCAAAAATAACACCCAGCGCTCTCCCTGACGGCCCGTCTGTCAAACTCCATCTTGTCATCTCTCAGTTCCACTGTTCTCAGTGTCAACATATGCACCATCTGGATCTCCTCCTCCTTCCATGTTTTCAGTTCATCCGTCTATCTTCATTTCCCTCTCTGCTATTACAGAGCATCTACTTTCTGCTCCCTCCCGGTGGTCGGCAGCATTCATAATTTCTAAATGTCATTTGGACATTAGCTCATGAGGCCCGCAGGCAGGATGCTGTAAGTAGCGGGGTGATGGAGGAGGGAGGTCATCGCGAGGGGCACGAGCAGAGAAATAAAGTAAAGTCGTGGCCTCTCGGAGACTCTGAGATCTGATTATAGTCACAGCGCAGGAACAGAGATGGATGCGGATGGATGCAGATAGAAGAAGAAGAAGAAAAAAACCCTGCCTGCTCTGCTTCGTCTTTACATACAGGAAAAAAAGATAAAGAGCAAAGAAAACATGGAGAAGCCCGATGACTTCGGCAGCGCCTGAGGAAAACCCGATTCAGGAAAAGGTCAGGGTGTGAAATCTGAGACGAGCGGTTCGAGAGCTAAATTTAATCTGTGTGATCGCTCGTCTGTAACATGTACGCCATCTCCAACGAGGCCTGGAGGCATGTTAAACTGCCCCTCACTGGAAGGATGCAGAACTGCAGGACTGGGCAGCATCAGGCTGCAGGGATCTAATGCGTCTCTGGGCAGTTTGAGCCTCTGAGAAACAACAGCCACGACTTGATTTTCTACTGTTTGCACAGATATTGATGTAGCTGTGTTGAGCAGGGACTGATCCCGGTGACAAATCAGTAGTTTAATCACTGTAGCTGTCATTTTTACTCCGGCCACTAAAGTAGATTTATCTCGATTCGATGAGGTAACGGCACAAAGTCCGACACTAACTCATGTTTAACTGCTGCAGCATCACAGAGCATCGTGGCGGCTGCAGGGACAGTTAGTCATGTGAGACGGCGGCGCCTCAGGTATCGAACCCCTCAGAGACAATCTGCTGAGGCGTAAATTCAGGGAGGAGTAAATTTTGATTTTGTTTTAAATTCATCAACTCTTTCGGACTTTTCTAAACACATGGAGGAAATCTTTCTGCACTCCGTGTAGTACAGTGGTACTCTGGGATTAATAAAGTACTCTGTCTATAAATACTATGCAATCAGAAGAATTTAAAACACACTTGAGTACAACAATGCACACAAAGCTGCTTCTATTTTTGACTCCATCCTTCAGGCAATGGTGCAGATTCACAAAACAAAATTGATCTTAGTTGAGCAACAAATGATATATTATTCTCATTTTTACTGCTGCTTGGATAATTTTCTATGGAGATAAAATGTCAGGATGTCGGAGTTTCCGCTGGAGTGAATTCAATTTTGCAACGAAACACAAAAACTACAACATCACAGCGACAACGAAACAACAAGAACATTCAAGCAAACATCTGAGTGAAATGTTTCAGGAGCAGGAGGAGGCTGGAGATTCTCCATCAGTGTTTCAACTCCCCGTTGATAATTATCTGGAAGAAAAGCTGCCTGGCTCCTGTGGCTCGATCTTATTTACACATCTAGTAAACTTAAATCTCGGTTCATTGTCATCCATCTCACTTATTCTGTATCTTTGTCTATCGATCACCAATCCAACACACACACACACACAGACACACACACACACCAGCAGAACAGACTGAGGCTCTGGACTGATGTCTAATTGGTGTGTATTGATGTTACTGCTGCTGGAGTTTCCACAAATACACGTCATTAATGTTTCCTCCCGCCTGATGCTGTACAACAAACACACACACACACACACACAAAGCATCTCAACACAGAAGAAGTTGCCATGGTAACTGCTGACATAAATGAATGAGATGTGTGTGTGTGTGTGTGTGTGTGTAATGGCAGGTCTCGAGGTAAATCAACAAATGGACATTGTCTCTGTTCCAACCCCACTCTCTCTTTACATCTTTTGTCCTCCAATCCGTCAGCCCTTCCATCGACTGTCCACCACCTCGCTCATCAAACCCCACAGGACACGGTCACAAGGTGAAGGGACGGAACAAGAGTTTTATTAAGACCCTCAGAGGAATAAACATGACGGAAAAAACAGAAGCACAGTGAACCGCGATCACAGGAAACAGTGACAGAGGAGCAATTCGTCCCCATTACATAAAGAAAACATCTCCAGATAATAAAATGTAAATATATATATATTTTTTGTAACATATCCTGCAGTGGTTTCAGTATATCTGCACTGCACACACTCATGTTACAGCACTGATTGTTGCTTTGAAGGCGTTAAATACAATTCGTAGACTGATATGAATGGCCAGTGATCTCGTTAATCGACTGATTGTTTAATCGAAAATCAAAAATGACAGCAGTGCTATTTGGTCAATAGCACATAAATGAACATAAATGAAAAATAATTAGGAAAATTAACAATATCCATGAGCTAAATTCACTATTTACTATCTTTGCTGGATTCTATGTAAAATTGTGCGCAGACGATGGTAACTTGTTTCCACAAGATAAAAAATAAACATGATGTATTAGCACCATTAAAACTTTAAAAGCCACAGTTGGTCCAGACGACAGGTGAAGTGGTGTCAGGGAAACATCTAAATCAACCATGTAAACACAAAGCTTGAATTCAGGAAGAGCTGGGGCAACAGGTCTGTGTCACAAATCAGCAGCGTCCAAAATAAACTTGGACACAGGGTTTTTCTTTGAATCACAACTATGAAAAAAAAAAAATCAATTAAACGTGGAACAACATGGCGACAATCATTTAAATACACAAAACAACCTGGAAAGTTGATTTAGAAATAAAAAAAAAAATGTTTAAAACAATAGAAGCTATTGTAATTTTCTGAGTAACCTCCAGTCCTCCAGAGAAACATCACGTCACACAAGAACCTGCCGTTCAGTTCAGTGCCACAGACTCAAAGACAAACAGGGAGTTCATCTCGTGATTTGAGTTCTTATGATTCTGTGAGTTCAGCAGCCTCAGGCCGAACTGAAGCAGACAAACAAAGTCCGACGGAAACCGGGGACTTATTAAAAGAGATCACTCACACACACACACACGCACACACACGCACACACAATCTACAAAACATATGAAGTCTCACATTACGTGTCAAACATATATGAGAAGGTTGATATCACTTTACTTTCTGAACGGTACATTGTCATGAAACAGGCGTGCACAATTATTTCAAGCAAAATATATGGTTTCAAAGATATTTTAGATTTTTCTGTATTTTAAGTTTTGCTCAAACATGAATTAGTCTTTGGTTTGATGGATTCTGGGAATCCATCGACTAGGCCGCTAATAAATACGTCTATAGATGTTGACCTGATATATTTCTGCTTCTCACAGTCACTGTAACATCTAGAATATGTGTTCCTGTAAAAATATATATAGTCATTGTACCTTCACCCTGATGTATAACTTCTTTATTCCCATGGGAAAGGCTCGACCTTTATCTCGTCACACTTACAGTGCATGTCCCGTACGTCTGTTGTTATAGAAAATTGGCAGTTTTTACAACAACAGCTTGCAAATATATTTTTGCCAAACGTAATCGATAAACTATGACTGACAAAAGTCTCGAGTCATAATTTATGCCGTAGCTGCAACGTGTGCAGTAAATATACCTTTAAAATTCAGTTCCTAGCATGAGTTGGGTTCAGAGAATAACTCACATCATGTAAACTATGTAGGCTACGTCCGGCATGATCAGCCTTTTCAACACAGGCCTCCTGCTCACGGCTCGGGCCACGTTCAGGGTAACGCTGAGGTCAGAGGTCACCACACCCGGCAGGACTGCGCTCCTCGGTTCATGACCGACGACTCGGGACAGCTGAACACGTTCCGAAACTCCTCGTAGTTACTCATGGCTCCGACGACTCTGCAGGGCGACAGACGACCGTAGAGATGAGGTTGCAAGAGCTGCACGTTCATGTGTGTGTGTGCGTGCGTGTTCGAGTGCGTGCACACCTGTATTTTGGCGGACTGTGGGCTCCGCTCTGGATCTGATCCCTTGCTGCTTCTGGTCTGTATGAGTTACATCTCACCTGCACAGTACAAACGACCAGTTCATTAGCAGATGGTGCAGCAGACCGGCGATGCTAAACACGGGGAAGTGAATAAAAACTGTGCAACAAGCAGACTGTGCCTGAAAACTGTGTTCCCTCGAACGACCAGCAGAGGGAGCAAGAAGAAGTGAGAAAATGACTCACTTGATTTTTAACATCAGCAAAAACATGTTGTTCCACATGAACATTAAATTTGTCCTGTGTAGAAGCACCGTGTTCATTATGGGGGTTGATACCGTGTGACTGAAACCGTCCAACGGGAGCAGGCCGCAGGTGCAGGTGGGCGTGCAGTGTCTCAGTCAGGCTCCACCCCTCGCACCTCTAAATATGGTTACTTCTGCTTTTGAAAAACCGGCGCTGGACAAAGTGTCTTCAGAACGGCAGCTCACAGAACCAACAGGTGGCGTCACGGTGGGTCGACGCTCGACCACAGCGCCGCTCAAATGATCTTTTTGAACTAACTCGTAGAAGTTCAAGACCATTCAGGAGAATTATTAGTTTTATCAAACACGGACTCCCACAGACCTGAACGACACGTTAGCAAACAACACTGACCAAAGTCCTCAGGAGGAAAACGGGAAAACAGCAGCACTGATGCATGTGTATGTGCGTTCGTACATGTGCGTAGCTGAGGAAGAACAGCTGGTTGTTGTTCAGGCCGACTCCGGGCAGAAGAGGCTCCTCCACACCACCTCTGCTCTCGTCCACCCACCTCCTGTACGCCTGCACAGACAGAGAAGAAGAGCTTTCTCACCGAGGACGTTCTGACGGGTCAAATACGAGTGGAACGGAAAGCGTCAGAGCAAAATCAAAGCGAACAAACAAACCGTACCCTGAACGCTTCTCTTATTCCTCCATTGTCGGCTATATTTTCTGCCAGAGTCCTCTTACCGCGCACCTACGGAGCAAAAACATCCAGGAAGTGAAAAAACATTTCTGCAATAATATGATAATAGAAGTGAATTGATTAAAAGTTTAATAAATAATGTTTGTAACGTTGGTTCTCACATTCAGGGCGGCCTCCTCCCAGTGGTAGCCATTATACTGGTCTATCATACACTGGGTCTTCTCATTGAAGGCTGTTATTGACGAGTTGCTCCACCACTGGTCGAGGTTTCCATTTTTGTCGTATTTACGACCTGTTCAGAAAAGAGTCACACGCGAAAAAGAAAAAAATCACACACTCGAGTGAAGATATGAGAAATATCTGGAATCTCTTTCTGATAAGTCATTTATAAAACATGGAAATCAATTAATTTGATCATGAGTTAACGACTCATCCCTGTTTGGGATCATTTGAACCAACTTTAATCCTAATTTAAGATCATGATCTCTTTTTAGTCTTGAGCAGAATGTGGTGATGACGTGATTGTGAATTACGTTTTTACCGTTATTGTCAAAGCCGTGTGTCAGTTCATGTCCGACGATCACCCCGATGGCACCGTAACTTAAAGATCTGGGAACAGACACCAAGAGGAGGAGGACGTTTATTTCTAATGACACACAAACATTTCATGACCTGTGGAGAACGAGGTATAAAGTGACGCTGTTCGTCCACAGGCCTCATTTCTTCCGTGTGATTTTCTATTAGCGAGGCTCGTGTTGTAGAAATGAATTCAGAGCTCCTCTCTGCTCCTGAGAAAAGCGTGAGGTGGCTTTTCTTCGGTCCGTTAACAGAGCGTGTCAAATTTCTTTAATCTCACCTCGGATACTCTCTCCCCCAGAAGAAGGGTTTCTGAAGCTCTCCGGCAGGAAATCCTAAACGAGAGGATCAAAAAAGTTTCTACAGCTCCGTCCAGATTCACATGTGCAGAAAATCTTTTACAAAGATTAAAATGTCTTTTCTATCAGTTTGTTCATAAAGTAAATCCCCCAATTACTTTGCAAATTTAAAGAAGAATTCCTGGATGGAGGTAAACTGTAGATTTCTTCTGTCTGGACAGAATCTAAGAATAATTGAATTAAAATGAAGACAAGCGTTGTTGTATCTTACGGATTTGATTGGTGGAGGAACTGTAGAAGGCATTCACAGTGGTCGGGTTTGTGAACCACCTGAAACACAAACACATTCACTTTTTTAAATTTTTATTTTACTCATCTTTTTGTTTTTATTGATATGATTTCTGTCATTTCCAAGTGAAAAAGGTGCACAAACAGGAAACCCGTGCACAGATCAGTTCTCGTACTCACTCCGTACGAGGCACGCTCTTTCGGAGCCAGGCGACATCGGACTGGGCGATGAACTTGAGCGTCTGCATCACGTTGCCGTAGTAATCCAGCTCATTGAACTTTAGCTAAAACACACAAATACAACTATGAGATGGGTTTTCTCGTCATCAACAGCTGCATCTTGGATGAATTGAATCACTCGATGGTTTGTGAATTGATAAAAACACCTCCCTCCCTCCCCTGTAACACAAAGGAACTAGTTCACCTCGGGGCCAAACAAACCTCCTTGAGATCTTCACTCAGGTAGGTGTCGTTCAGGATAAACTCGGGGTAGCCGACCTTTGCCAGGACTGCGTGAGCCTGGAGAGACAGCAACATGAGAGCCAACGTTAAAACAGCTTCAACTGATGAATCTGTTTCTGGTTATGTACAAGTCAGACACGTATTTAGTGCAGATGAAATTCTATCACAGCTCATTACGACAGAGGAACAAAGAGACGGTGGCTTTATATGGAATTAAAGCGTTGAGCCAATCCAGACAATAAAACCCTCTGATGGAGGAGTTTTATTTGGTCCTTGTTGAACTCTGAGAGTCTTGTAATGTAAAAGAATAATGATGTTGCTCCACAGCTGGTGATGATCAGCACTTTGGTTCATAGAGAAAAGTCATTAATTAAAAATAAGCACCTTAGATCTGCAACTCACATTGTTTTTTATTCTATTCTTTCATTAATCGTATTGATAAACTAAATATCTGCTAAATAGCTCAATGATGGATCAAGATGGAGCAGAATCCAGACATGTGGACAACTCTTTATATAAATATATACATTTTAAAAAGTTGTGCGTAATGTGAAACGGTTAGAAACAAACCTGACAAGATTTAAAACTCAGCTTTATGCAGCTTCTGAGCATCTTTTGGTTTATGAACTCTTTATGGTTGATTTTCTTGTTCAGTATCTCTGCACTGCATTTGACATTAAATAGATAAGAAGAAGTGAAGATTATTTCCATTTCATGTCTTCAAAAGATGCAGGAATTACGCCTCAAACTAAAGAGCACAGAAGTGCAGCTCTTTCTCTACACGCACATATATAGATCCAGATATTTCCCTCGGTGGAAAACCAAAACAGAGCTGCCCCCAAGTGGTCACACTGAGTTAAAGCTTCACTGGAGGATTCAATTTAGAGTTCAGACAAAAAACGTGAACTGACTCTTGTAGAAAAGTATGTTTTGGAAGTTTTAAAGCAATGTGGGAATAAACAGATATTAGAGCTGACGGCTTCTCCCGCCTTTTCTATGGCTCTGTCCTTCGTCGGCTGATCCATCCACTCGTTCTCTTTCTGCAGTATGTCGATGAACGCCCAGCGAACTCCCCCGATCAGCTCCTCCATCTGAAACACACACACACAAAGAAGTTCAGAGCCGTGACGACGTCCAGGAAACACACTCTCATGTCTTTCTTTGTGAGGACGTTCTCAGACAGTGAGGACATTTTGGTCGGACCTCAGACTTCAGGCTCTTCAGGGTCAGGGTTGGGTTTGTGTTGGAGTTAGGTCGATGACATTGTTGTGATTGTTCAGGGGGGAGGGGATGAGGAATGCATTCTGTCAGAAAGGGTCCTCATAAAGATAGAAATGTGTGTCTCCACCGCACAAAAAGAGCATTTACTAAAACATTAAGTGCTCAGTGTCGTTGCAACATAAACACAGACACACACACACAGTCGAGACGACACAACATTAAATTACATCATCGCCAGAGGACACAACTGATACACACACATCTGTTAACATATACACAAATTGAACTGGAGATGTGAGACATGAGGTCACGTCGGGAACACACACACGCACCATGTGTTTCTTGTCCTCCTGGAAGTGTGTGTTGACAAAAAGGCGCCCGGTGGCGTAAACAAGCGAGTTCTCCACGTAGTTCACGCACTTATCCCAGCGCGGGGTGAGAGAGGTGGTTCCCGTGGTTACCTGGTGGAGGGGCGAGGGACACGAGGTGACACTTGAGATGAGAGATTTTGAAAACGAAAACAAGATTGAACTAATATCACATAACTTTCCCAGCTCTTTAATAAATCAAGAAGCTTTATATCACACTAGAGTTTTCTTGTTCTGTGCTTTTTTTATTTTCGGTATAAGATTTTTATATTTACTAATATATAACCAAGTATTTTACCGTCCAATGGTCTTCATCATCTTCTTTAGCTGCATTTGACATTTCCTCCACTTTGAAATGTGCTACCGTGAATACACTTATGAAATATTAAAGCAAAATGTGTTTGGCTCATATCTTGTACTACTTTCTTGCAGGTACATTTATTAAACAGCAACAAGTGCCCCTGTAGAAGCTATTTCCATATTTCCAGAGCAATTTCAAAGCTCAGTTTACAAAGTAGATACTGAATCATTCATCAATATATTCATCTGTTGGCCTAAATGTTCTGACACTGAAATATGTCAAATCTAAATAACCTGCACCAAACCTGCGCAGCTTCACTGACATTAAAGGGAAGAGAATAGTTTGTGTGAGTCTGGTTCAGATTTATAGTTTGTTCAATGAACTCAGGATTAATTAAAAGATAAATCTCACATTACGAGAGTTAAAATTAGAGAAGAAATCTGAATCCGTATCTGAAGTCTGGTCATCCTCTTGTTTCTGTTTATAGTAAAACTTCGTAGTGTGACGTTCCAGACGTGAGGTACAGAGTGGGACTTCTCAAACAGCCGTAAACTTTGGATCCACAACCTGATTTAAAGTTTATTTAGGTTTTTCCAAAGGGATTTTTCTGGCTCTCAACCAATAAAGTAGCATCTAACACTGCAATGACCAAAAGAAGACGGATCTTGGAACCAGCTTTCTGTTCGTACCCGAGCGTAGTCGAGGTATCTGTAGAGGAAACGACGACTCAGAGTGGTGATCCTGGAAAAAACCGTCCTCCACTGCACGTAGTTTGCCACGGTCCTGAAGAGAGAGAGAGAGGACAATTAATTAAAAGCCTGCATGTGATCTCATTACACGCTATGATACACTTATAATGAGCGACAGGAGGCCTCAGGGTGCGTGTTCCTCTGTCTGCATGTTCATATGTGTGTGTGTGTACCTGGGGTCCGTGGCGTTAATGAGCTTGAAAAGTTCCTTGAAGTACTGCGGGGCTCGGACGATGACGGGCTCAGAGGAGGAGATGGAGCGAGCCGGGTCGCTCTTAGACTCCACCACAGCTTTGACGAAACCCAGCCAGTCGAACTACAGACGAGGAGACGAAGAGCTTAACGGTTTTCTCACATTGATCACAAACATGTTCATGAACCCAGATCAGTGAACTCCACAACACCCTGAGTTGAATTTCTTTGTTGTCGGTTGTGTATCCGTCTTTGACGCACCTGCGGTACGGAGCGCTGCAGACGAGACAACGAGTATCTGTTGTACATGTTCTCACTGGTGCGGTTCTCGTAGGGAATCAGGATCTGTCGACACAATGAGCGTTTTAATACAAACACACACACACACACACACACACACACACACACACACACACGACCGACGATTCTGAATTTATGCATAAAATCCTCGTCCGATGCATCAGCTGCAAACTTCACAAGTGATCATACTGAAGTTTAATGAGCTCCAGAGACACGGAGGTCCGTCATATCGTTTTCATACATTCAGTGAAGTGATATTTGACTTAATGCGACGTGACGTCTTTACATGAGCCACTTTGGTCTCGAAGGCGAGAGCCTTCTCCATCTGGGTCAGCGCCGACGACTCTGGAGCGCCCAGCATGACGGCCGTGTCCACCATCAAACTGAGCAAGGCCGCACGGTACTGGAGAGAGAGAGAGAATAAATGAAGTGAAAGAAAGTATAAAGTGTTGAGTCTCATGCTCTCTAATTTTTACTTTGCGATGTTAATTGTACATCATTGTATCTACTGTCAAACTTTTTCTCATGCCCTAATGTAAACTCTTGTTTATACAGCATGTGGGGACTGTATGTCCTGTACAGCAGAGACAACTCCTGATAGAGACAGTGAACTAATAACAAGATAGAGTTTTTTTTTTTTTTTTT